TACATGTGCATGATTCCAAGCTGCAGCAACAATGCTCCAATATTCATCCATTATGTTCATAACCCATTGAGCAAAAACTTGACATCATTTATACTTCTAAGTACTCCAATTGGCCCATTCCATGGAAGTCATCCATTACTATCATTATAGTGCTCTTTCTAATTCGGTCATGTATTCTAGGGAGAAGTACCAAAAAGTCTCAATAATAAGGCGGCTATTGTCATTCTTTACATTGGTTTGAAAGTTATTACTACCTCCGGTCCTTGATATAAGAGCTTATTGGCTACTTTGAATAGATTAAGAAAATTTATTAAGTTAATTATTTGTAATAAATAGGTGTTGTTTTTCTTAAAATACTCTTGCTAATAATATATATTAGTTATAATTATTATTTGATGAAATCTTTTAACCCGTTTATATTTGTTCAATGATTGTTTTAAGAATTTTAAATTAAGCTTTTAATTGAAAATTTTGTTTATATCTTAATATCCCATCTTCATTAATATATAAAGTGAGGGTGTGTCTCCCTAGTGACAGAGAGTTAAAGAAGCTATTACTTGATGAAACTCATAGGAGCAAATACATTATTTACCTTGGGGTGACCAAGATGTACCATGATCTAAAGTGAAATTAGTGGTGGCTTGGTATGAAGAAAGATATAATTGAGTTTGTCTCTCGTTGCCTAACTTGTCAAAAGATCAGGATGAACACCAGAGGCCCCAGGATTATTGCAAAATCTAGAGATTCCAGAATAGAAGTGGAATAGTATCTCTATAGATTTTATCATAGGTCTTCCTAGAACTCAATCTGGGCATGACGCTATTTAGATGATTGTTGACAGACTAACTAAATCAGCCCATTTTCTAGCTATAAGGAGGAATTACTCAATTGAAAAACTAGCACAGATTTATGTGAATGATATCATCAGGTTACATGGCACACCAAAGAGAATTATATTAGATCAACATCCACGATTCACTTCAAGATTTTAGAGATCATTGCAAGATATGATGGGGACATAGTTGAGGTTTAGCACTATCTACTATCCCCAAATTGATGGACAAATTGAGAAAACCATCGAAAATCTTGAGGACATGTTAAGAGCTTGCACAATTGAATTAGGAGAAAATTGGGATGATCACCTACCTTTAGTGGAGTTTGCTTATAATAATAGTTTTCAGTCACGTCTTCATATGGCTCCTTATAAAGCATTGTATGGAAGAAAGTGTAGATCTCCACTTTGTTGGACAAAATTGAGCGAGAGAAGTTTGATAGGTCCAGAACTGGTGAATCACAACTCAGAGGATTGAGATAATATAGCAAAAACTACTTACTGCCCAAAGTAGAAAGAAGAGTTATGCAAATAGGAGAAGGCGACCTTTGGAATTCATGATATGAGACTATATATTTCTCAGAGTCACATCAATGACAGGCATTGGCAAATCGATTTGAGCAAAGAAACTGACTCCTCGTTTCATAGGTCCTTATGAAATCTTAGAAAGAGTAGAACTGGTGGCTTACAGAATTGCCCTACCTCCACAACTAGCAAACATTCATAATCTATTCCACATGTCACAACTCAAGAAATACCACCCAAATCCATCTCATGTGATTGCGCCTAAAAAGATCGGGTTACAAGAGAATCTTACTTTTAAGGCCGAGCTCGAACGCATTCTTGACTTTGAGAACAAGCAACTTTAAAATAAAACTATTCAGTAGCTTAAAATTTTCTGGAAAGGAATGTCTTCTGGGGATGCTAGATAGGAAACAGAAGAACAGATGCCGCAGGACTTTCCAAACTTGTTTGATTAGGAAGTATTATTGTTGTGTTGACTTTGGTATTTGTGTTATAGTGATACTTGTGTTATATTGATGTGTAGTGTTGATGATAGTGATTGTACCTATTGCTTGAAGTGAATTTTTTTTCCTTTCCGTGTTTCCAAATTTTGAGGACAAAATTCTATTTAGGTGGGAAGAGTTTTAACACACTATTTAAAAAAATTGTAATTTTAAAATGTATATATAATTAAAAAAATAGTTTTTCCACCGACTAGAGCATTTATTAAAAAGGGAGAAATTTGGGAGGAGAAGTATTCAATCAAGTTGAAAAATGGGGAGTATTAATTGAAGAAGGAAGAGGAGGGAGGACGCAGTTGAATAAAAAGAAATAGGGGGCAATGTAGGTTGAAGAAAAATAAAAGGGAGAAGTAAATGCGAGTATGTTAGATTCTTTAGAAAGGCAGAGAGGGAAAAAAAAAGGAGAGAACGAGCAGAGTAAGAGAGAGCATGAGGCAGAAAGGTAAAGAGAGCGAGAAGTTGAGTTGCACAGCACCTGGTTAGAATGTTAGGATAAGATTTGTAAATCATTTAGGTGTATAAATATACTACTTTTTATCATTTTTTTTGTGAATATTTCTTATATATTTAGAGCTTTATATTGATAGTATTATTATAATATTTAGAGAAAATTTTACAGTTTAAGCATGAAGTAAATATGGATTTTTGATAATATATGACCGTAGAAATTTAAAGATATATTATTAAGGAATTTTAATCTGTTTATATTTGTTCAATGATTGTTTTGAAAATTTTAAATTAAGATTTTAATTGAAAAATTTGTTATTCAAAGACATATAAAATTTTTTACCGATTAATTTAAGTTAAATAATTTATCTGAGTTAGTTAATATATCGTTGAGGTTTTAGTCAGTTTGAATATTGAATAAGTTAAAGATCTATTATTGACATAATTTTTGAAGGCTTAAAAAATTGTAAGTTGAGAATTTTAATATAAAAATATTTAGATTTTTGGTAATAAATATATATTTTTTTAAGTTATCGATTTACAATATTGTCTTATATGACAAAAAAGTTTTATTTTCCAATAATATTGTGTCTATTATAAATAGCTAGATCTAGGAGAATTAATATATTTTTATGATTTTAGATTAAAGGGTAGGCTCAAAATTTTAGAATAATTTTAAATTAATTTTTTTATATATTAATAAATATTTACATGTAATTTAGTAGACTCTTGAGAATTTTGGAGTAATCATTGTGTGAATATTTGTAAGCGAAAGAGTAGGAGGTAACTTTGAAAATTCTTTTATATACATGTGAATTGTGTATAATTATATTATGGATTTTCTAGTTTTTATTATATCATACTGAAATATTTTTATATATAATGAGCTTTCAAATAAATGTGTTAATATATTACTTTATTTTGTTAGGATTTATTACTATTAATTTTTATCAATATTTAAATATACTGATAACTATTGAATTATAATGAATTGCCGTTAATTGGTACATAACTTTTATTGCTATCTTATTTTAATAATATATTTACGGATGTATTTTTGATGTAACATTATCTACATATCACATATGCATTGTTGGGTTCAGAATAGAAGGAGATATACATGGATATAAATTATCACACGATATGTCATCACTTGATGCATAGTGGATGGCACTTGTCAGGGCTACTTCTTCTATGTTTTTCTTTGGTCGGGAATTTGTTGGAATTGCGAGACATGTGACACCTCCTTATTTTATTTTCAAGGGAGGGGAGTCATAGTCCAAACTTAAGCTCTATATCTTTAGCCAGATATATCTTAAGTATCGATGAGCTTGAAATAATCCAGTAAAATGAATTTGCTTCTATTGAACTATGTGTTCGCCTGTGGCTCTAGTCAGCGGTGTAACGGTGGATAATGATATAAGAGAAGTTACATATTGTATTATTTTTGGATGTATTGAAAAAATGATATTGGTATATTGTTGAATTAGAAATGAAATTGAGTTAAATGTATAAATCCGTGATTTTCATACACAAATATATATATACACACATGTAAACAGATTCTTGTTTGTCATATATGATTTGCCTGTATATATTAGAATTTCAATAGTTACTGAAACGTTGAATCTCATCCTTTATATTAACATTTTCAGGTAAAGGATCTAGTAGAAATCAAGAGAAGGTTCCGATAGAGTGAGCCGTGAAGGCTTTTGTACTCTTCAAATACATGTCATGTTATATTTTTATTTGCTATAACTATAAGATTTCAATGTTTTATTTTGTTATGTCTGAAAAATATTTTGAAATTATGACATGTTTTGAATATTAAAAATACACATGATTTTTAAATGAAATATTTATGGTATTTAAGGATATAATATGTTCCATTCAGATTACAATTAATGGCATGTATTAGAAGCGAATCATTCAGAATACATACATACGTGTATATTATATATATGTATACACGTTTCCGCGTGAACGAGGGAGGATGCACAAATACGCCAAAACAGACAGACTGAGCCATCCCTGTTTCATCGTTCGGATTCCAAATCTCATTCATATCACTCATCATTTTTCTTTTTTTATTTATTCTGTCTGTCTAAAGGCTTCACACATCTCACAATTAGCTGCAAAACTTCCCCTTCTATTCTAATCACACACCGTGTTCAAGTATCAGCTTTATTTCGTCCATTATACCTTTTTAACACTTGAAAATTGAAATTTAAAATCGAAACTGAAATTCTCCACCACTACTATACTAATCTATAGATGTGATGTATAATTAACTTGCTTAACTGCCATCCATTTCATTCTTTCTTTTCACAGCATTTTTATCAATTTTTGAATATTATAATGTATATGCTTAGATGCTTGCATTATTGTAACCGAATTTATTACAACACACTTACAATTTTTTAAAGAGAAATTGAAGACATCAATTAGAACTCCAAGATACAAAAATTAACTTGCGAGGAAAACAAATATTTTATAAATTATAACGTAAGACGTATATGCTCATCATTCGAAAACGAAATCTCAGAGAGAGAGGACCATACCGTGCTTATATCATTACTCACCGTTAACTGAATATTAGTTCTTTATAGAGCAAACGTTTCAACTAAACAGTACTACCTGGCTCTTTAATATGTAAGAGCTGTTTAACTGAGTGTGTACACAAACACATATATATATTATGGGCACTCTTGTGCCCCAAAACCAAAGGGGTACTTGTTCTGTTTGTTGGGATAGAGGAGCCCAAAATGTCTCTCTGTCTCTTGTCCCACCTTCTTATTCTCATCGAACACAGCGAAAAGATATGTCTCCACAGGTTCAGGCCTCATAGGAGTAACTGTGTTAACATGAGGAATCAAATTCTGCAAGTACGTCTTAGCATTCAACTCAGTGGCATGTTCCTCACCAACGGAAGGCCACCCACTCTCCGACACACCCACTTTCACCGGTCCAATCCTCGTGCCATCCAAAGCTGCATGCAACGAATCCAACATGGCATCGAACAGATTCTGGTACCCTCTCGAGCCATCCTGAACCAACACGCTTGGTTCAGTGAACAAAGCATAATTCAGAGGTATGTCGCCTGGCCGGCTCCTACAATAGGCGAAGTAAGGGTATATATTGGCGAATAAGGGCGCTTTTGCGGACACCAAGTAGCCTATGATAGGATCGAAGTATGATCTGACGTCATCTCGGAAGCTACCCTGAGAGGGAGGATATGAGTTTCCTATGAGGGTCATGTCAATGGAGGTTGAGACCTTGATCTTCTCATGAAGGCATCTCGCACATATGGCTTGATACACATTTTGGATCGCCGGAAGGACGTGCGGGGCGTACTGTCTGTTGGCGCCGTCGACGGGGTTCACTTCATTTCCGACGGCGATGTATTTGATGTTGACGGAGGGGTAGAATTTGGAAACGCTGTTTTCAACCCATTCACGGGCGTCGTCGGCGTTCGTGGCGAGCCGGTGAAGGTCGGTGTTTGGGACGCCGAGCATGAGGTTGATGCCAGAGTCTCTGAGAGCTTCAAGAGCTTCTTGGTTGGGATCGTACAGTCTCATGAGCTTAATGTTGTTGGCTTTGTAAAGATCCACAACCTCGCGAGCAGATGGCAGATCATTGCCCAGCGTGCCATAGCAAACACCTATTTGGCCACCTGCTTTGCCGCAAATTTTTGCTTAATCAATCACTACCCGAGGAAATGGACTTCTTACCTAATTATGTCAAATACTGGATAATGTTTGTAACTTCTTCTGAGTAAGCAAGTCTTTGCTTTTAGTTAGGCCACTAATATCAATGTTGATTTCTAGCTCTAATCTAATTCTGTTTCAAAGAAAAGAGAAATTAATATGCATATATACCCCAGTAAAAACCATTATATACTTAGAACAATTTCATGAATATTGATCACTTGGCTCTATATATATATATTACAAAAGGCCAAACATACAGACTAGCTAGAATTTTCTTCGACTCTATGTAGCTTTAATTGCAACCGAGCCTGCTATGCATATGTTTATTTCTGTGCTGTCTGAGTTGCATACATACATCTATATATATATATATATATATATTGATGGTTGCAGGGAGTAATCTTACAAGAAAATAGCCTGGAAATCAGATGAGGACCTGTGATGCGAAGATTTGCTGTGAAGAGTGCTAATAGGAGCAGCAGCGAAGCCGGATCGAAGCCATGAATGTTATGTTAGTGCTAAAGATATAATATGAGTATACATATACGCACAGTGACTGAGTTGTGTCTGATCGATCTCCATTGATACAGGCCTTCTATTCTTATGGGCCATTTTCATATTTATTATGAATCACTACAAAATTTAAGCAGCGTTTACCAATTCAATGGGTTCTTATCATCTATCACGCTCTACTTTCATAATCTCTTATATCATTTTCCTTCTTAATTAGTAGTATTTCCCACCATTCATTCTCGGTCGCCAACAAGACAAGAGGTGAATACTCAAATATTGATGCATGTCTTTGTTTATTCTGTGCAGTTATTTCTCAGCATCAATTATTTTGTTATTGAAATATGACTATTCTTTTAAATTTCATTTTTTTTTAAAAAAAACCTCAAACTTTGAGTTATATATAAATAATCCTCTTAACTATATTATATAATTTTAGTAAAATAAAAGATAATACTAAATAGTAAATTAAATACTGCAATTTTTCTTTATAAATTTTGTATGAAGGTACCGACCTGATAATGGCGAGATTAAGAGAGACACTCCGCGTGCTCGTTGGGACCATTAACATATGATCGTCTTGGTTCCAAAACGACATGCATTCATCGCTTATGGTGCAAATAAAACGACAAGACGATTCAATAATGCCAGTAATATGAAGTCATCGCTTAAACGATTTATTTGCTTTTGATTCTTCTAAAATGTATTGTTTAACTAGGCTTTCTGTCCCCGTCACATAACTTAAAGTCTTGAACGTTTATTAAGTTCTGATCAAAATTCCTTAACCAAGTTTTTCAACCTAGATGGAACATATCCTGTAAGAGATACTCAAATTTATAAGATGATCAGTAGTTCAATACAAATCATTCGAACAAGGAAAAAGAAAAAAGAAAAAAAAGAGAGAGAATTCAGTTTAATCACAGCATATGCTTGAAACATCGATACCTAGATATTTCGAAAACAACATATATATTGTCCAATGCTTTTTCGTGCCACGTTGATACGCCACTGCGAAACTATCATAACGAACCTATCATTATCGATTCAGGTCAAAAAAACTCTTATCATTATCAATTACAGAATCTGCTTCCAAGAGGCAACTTGCGGACTTAGCTTCGTATTCAAGCCATATGACATGCAGTGAAGATCTGATTTTGGCCCTCTATATATAAAAGGGGCCAACTCCCTTACAAGGTAGTGCGTGCAGCGCAGCAAGGAAAACCCAGAGAAGTTGTGCATAAACGTGTTTCCGTAATGGCACGTTTGGTTCTAGGGTTAGCCGACTTCATAGATGGTGGTGATCCTCAGAGCAAACATGCTGTAGAACCTCAACCTCAATCCATTCCCAAAATACTGAATAGCGGCTCGCCACCATCTTCACCTGCTCCCCTCAACCGGCATAATCAAAAGCTTATTGGTTTAAGCAACGACACCAACATCAAATCCATGGCGATGGTAATGGAGTTCTCAAGGCTCCCAGCCTCATTAAGTGATCCCATACCAGTTACTACTCTAGGTGCTTAAAGTAACTATATTATAAATAAACACCATGTACTACTCACTTGTCAGAGAAAAGGCCCAGAAAATCTCTGCTGCGTTTGTGATAATTTATCTCAGCAAGTGCTTCTGGGTAACTAAGTTAATGATATTCTCTACTAGCTAAACTGATCTTTCAGTAACTTGTACCTTATTTAGTACTCCTCCGTTCCTTATTATAAGAGACATTTGATGCTTATGGCATGTTCTTATATATAAGAGACACTTAAAAGTTGTCTCTACTTTTTTGTGTTGATTTCCTATTTTACCCATATTTATTATCTCCAACTCACACTCTCTCTCCTTCCCACTTCTCTTCTCTTTCTTTTAATAATTTAATTGTTTTCTCTCATGCTCTCTCTCCTTATTAATGAGGGTATTTTTGGAAAAAAGTATACTTTTTACATATTAACTGTTCTTAACCAATTTTAACTGTTTTTTTTGATCAACGTACTTCGGTTATTTGTCTCTTATAATAAGGAACGGAGGAGTACCATTTTATATTTATCTTTAGACTTCCCTCCTCCAGTTCTGAAAACTTGGGAGTTTGAGAAGAGAAAAGAACGATGAGCAGAAAGAGTTCTTGCCATATATCCTCTCCCGAATACCACCTCCAGTTTCATATATCATAATCTGTTGTCTATTTTGATTTAGTCAGCATTTACGATAAAATTATTCACATACAAAAGGTTTTCAATATTTGTCGATAAAGCATCATATGGCTGAACGATTTGTTCTGGGAAGTGCAGTTAAAAGCCCCCAATACTTGAGAATGAATTTCCTCTCATCAACCAAGTTTTACATGGCAACAAACAAGAGTGATATGTTAGATCTCCAACCTCGATTTGAGAGGGTAACATTTTCAATCTCTCCACCGGTGGCCACAGTTTGGGCTGCAGCAAACAAAAAAGTGTCATACCTTCTTCCCCTCTGGCCGTCGCCTGCATAAATTCAGAAACTTGTTAAACCAAAGTACTTCTACATTCGTGTTTTGAATCTGCAGAATCAAACAAAATATTGCATTACTCCGACTTCTGTCTAACACGACAAGCTTATGGGCATTGGCGGTACTGGAACAAATCTTTTGTAGCTCCCTTCAACTAATTAGAAGCCAAACTCTATAAAGAAAAGTGAAAATCAGAGTCAATGCCATAGAAAAAGATGGCCAAACCAGTGTACCTAAAGCATGTTGTGTTCTAAAAATAAGTAAATCACCCTAAATCATATTTCATCCATTTTACCTGTATCATGCAAATAGACACCGTAACAACACCCCTCAGATTTTGACATATATGCTCTTTTTATATGCTATTGTCTTCCTACGTCATTTGAGAATCAAATTCAACTGCAAATAAAAACCATGTTCTTATCGGTTATAATAGATTTTAAATCATACGTGGGTGTGCGCCCTTAATTTTAATTTATAATACGTACATTTGATTATTACTGATTTGACTACTGTCCAACAACTACTAAATTGTAAAGTAGTGCTTTTATCAGTTCAATAAATGAACAGTCATGACATCGTATCATCCCACTTCCGACTAATTAAGTATAATGTTATTAAAAACGCTATTTCAATGTCAGGAAAATTTTAGCATAGTCTGTATCTTCAGGCTTAGCTTTGAGTTACAGTTATTTCTGTCCAAACCTGAGCAATGTTGTGTGTTTCCACAACCGAAAAAGACCTAAATAACAGTTCTCCCTCCACTCCACAATCTGCTTTTCCCAACTTTAGGTTAGACCATATAGTGCTAATATTAAGGAAGTTATCAGCTTCATGCTGTTCCCAAGAGCAGATTCATGATTGACCACAATTGTTATATTTTTTTTCTTAGGATAATATATTTTTTATTTAAAATAAATACTATAATGATATATTTTATGGGTGATACTAAAATATGAAAGATATTATAAGAGTATAATGGTCTAAAAATTTAGTTTCCCTCTAAAAACTCTCAATTTAAAAGGAGTTAAAATGGAGGGAGGTAGGGTGGAAGGAAAGAGAACATTTTGACTTCCCCTCTTCTTAAAATTTTTAACTAAATAAGAGGAGGGATTCATTTTTCCCTTCCATCCCCCACCCTTCCCTCCAACCAAGCAAGAGATGAACTTCTAAGAATCTGGACCGTTCCTTCCTCCCCTGAGGGAACGCATCCGAAGCTTATTATTAATGGCCAGTGGCTATTTTCACATTAATGTGCAATAATGTACTAGCTCTGATCTTTAATATAAAATCTTATTTAATTTTTATTTTGATCCTAAATATGAGACCTCAATCCATTTTGTCTCTCATATTTATACATTTTTCCCAATATAGTCATTTTAACAATAATAGTTTATGGCTAATATATTTGATTAATAAGTACTACCTCCGGTCTAATTATAAAAGCTAGTTGACTAATTTGAGAAAATTAAAGAAATAAATTGAGTTAGTTATTTATCCTAAATAAGTGTTATCTTTTCTAAAATATCCTTACTAATAAAGTGTATTGGCTAGAACTATTATTGTTGGAAGGACTACTTTGGGAAAAAATATATATAAATATGAGAGACAAAGTAGATTGAGTCTTATATTTAGAACCAAAATAAAAGTTAAAAAATATCTTATATTAAGGACCGGAGGTAGTATATTTTAAGAAAGACAACACTTATTTATTACAAATAACTAACTTAACTTCTTTTTGTAATCTTCTTAAATCAGTCAACTAGCTTTTATAAATAAAACCGAAAGTAGTAGCGTTCTATGTTTACCAAGTCAACGTGGGAAGTCATGTCTCATTGTCTCTCACTTCAATTATCAATTACTACCTCTAGTTCTAATTATAAGAGCTAATTAACTAATTTGAGGAGATTAAGAAAATAAGTTAAGTTAGTTATTTGTAATAAATAGATGTTATCTTTCCAAAAATATCTTTGTTAATCAAGTGTATTGGTTAGAACTATCATTGTTAAAAAGACTAACTTGAAAAAAAAATCTAATTATGATAGACAAAATAGATTAGAGTCTTATATTTAAAATAAAAATAAAAATCAAACCACCTACTTTCAAAATATCTTATATTTTTCTTGTTTGATTTCACTTGGTAAGTTGTCAGGGTAGGTATCATGTGTCACTCGAAATGTTATGCTTTCCGCCCCTTCACTATTAATCCTGCCATGTCCTATATCCTACTGATGTGGCCATAGGTCCAATAAACTCATAAATACTTTAAGTAAGTTAGTTCCAAGTAAACGATACTTGACCCCAAAAAAAAAAACAAGTAAACGATACAAATGAATGCATATTCTGCGTAAAAAATTAGCTAGAGATCGGTATTGATAAATGATAATCTCATCAAATTATTTTAAATTAAGACTCAACTTTTTTCACTTTCTACGACCCTAAGATTTTGATGTCCTTTCTTCGAAAATGATTAGATCAAGTAAAATAAATAAATAAATAAATATTGCATCAGATAATGGTGAATTTTGCATTCATGCAAGTGCTGACAAACTCAAATGGGGAGATTTTACTTTTGTATTTTTTGCCAGAAGGGGAGAGTTTATTTATATTTATGATTTGTATTTACGGATTTGAACCCGTGACTTCGTGTATAAGTGGTCATAGCCTCTTTTAATTACTACCTGATGGAACTCCTTAATTATATTTTGCTTGTATAAAATTTATGGGAGTTTAGAGAAATTTTAACTGAAAATAATAGGAAAAAAATGATATTTTGAGAGTTTTAATATTGTTTTAGATATGCAATTTTTGTAGGGGCAAACTGGGCAAATTGTTTCAGACACGAGGAATAGTGGAATACTCTTGCCTTGGACCATGAATTGGAGTTGGACGGAAAGAAAGAAGAAGCGGGGACCGGATGAGGATATGAATATAATATACATATTATTCAAAAGAAAAGGGGACGTCGACACTATTAAGTCTACACTCTAGTAATCATAGTTGGCAACCCCCAGCACAAGGGTGGATCAAGTTGAATGTTGACGGAGCTTTTTCTTCTCTTCACATGGCCTGTGCATGTGGTGGTCTACTGAGGAACGCGACTGGACAATTTGTTTGTGGATTTATTCACAAACTTGATAATGGTGATGCACTCCATGCAGAGCTATGGGCGTGCCTGCTTGGGCTTAAACTTGCTTGGGACAGCGGCTATCGTCGAATTATACTGGAATCTGACTCTAGTAATGCTATGGATTTGATCTCCACCCATCCGGAAGAACACCATGCTGATTACGACATTATTAAGGAGATCCACCAGATGGTTCATTGGGACTGGGACGTTCATTTTCAGCATGTGAGTAGGGCGCATAATACGGCAGCTGACTATCTTGCAAAGGAGGGGCTTATGGCGTTTAATGGATTTCATATGGTGACTTCTGCTCCTAATGCTCTTTCGGATATTTTGCGTGCTGATCGCATAGGTATAAGCGACGGTTTGATGTGAGGATTCCTGTTAGTTATTAAAAAAAAAGGGGGGGGGGGGGACGTCGACACTTCTTGACTTCATTCTCACTTTTTCTCTCTCCTTCTCTCGGATTTTCTTGCTTTCTCTGCCAAGCCTTCCATCGCACTGGTTCGTCAATGGCGAAACAAATTTCAGAGTCTACTAAAGCGACACTTGCAACCATGAGGAGGTAAATCTTCTTCTTCTTTTGGAGATTAACCGAAGCCTAAGTCATGGAGCTTAAAAAGGAGTTTGCTCATATTATTTTTCTAGATTTGGAAATACTCGGCTCTGTTCAGAACCTGTGATTCCTGATCTTATTAGCTGAGTTTCTATACTTTCTTTGTGATTGTTGAATCAGGATTTTGAATTTGCTATGTGTTTAGGTGTCTAATACTCTTTGTTTCAGAGTAGATTCAGTTTGTGATTTTTGATTTGTTCAACTCAGATTTGTGACTAAGTTGATTAAAACTTATGGATGCTGTTTAGTATCAAGATTTAGTTTGTTTATATTAGAAGAAAAATCTGAATATGCCTTCAGAGATAATTTATTGAAGATTGTGTTAACTGATTTTCAAAGAATCTTAGCTTCTCAAGAAATCAACCTAGGACTTGCATAATTTCCTACATATTTTCTACAACCTAGAATTTTTGATAAACTCCTACTTCAGAGTCCATTACTACTACTCCCGGTCCTAATTATAAAATCTTATTTGTAGTCTACAAACAAAATGTTATAATTAGAACCGAAATAGTACTAACTAGCTAGGATGAACCTCTTATTGATATTAATTTAATCTACTAAATATTGAAGATAATATTTTTAACAATTATTAATTACTCATATGAGCACCCGTTTTCCGACATACCATTTGATTTACTAATGAAGTTCTCCCCGTTGATGAGATCCTTCACATCACATGCATAAGGCTGATCTCATGCAGCAGAGGGCCCTTTAAACAATTGAAACCTTACAACTGAATATTTAGAGGCGGATCATCATGATGAATAGTCTCCTGATTACATACCGTGCACACACTATACATCTAATAATTAAGGATCAAACCATAGTAATTAAAGGGCCAATACTAGCTAGCAGATCATACAGTTCTCATTGATTCTCTTAGTAATAAAGATAGATAGATAGATCACCATTATGAGTTAATTAGCGTTCCATTTTCAAAGTGCTTCCTTTGCCTCCATTTTTCACGGTGCTTCCGCGGCCGTTGCCATCACTTTTGTGAACAACGTTGCTGATGTTGGGTTGGCCAGTCGAATTGTAACGGTTGCCGGAAGAAGGGCCGTTGTTGTTGGTGACGTCTCCGAAATTTTGAACGCCTGATCCTGTGTTACTGAATGAGCCTTGAGTTCCAATGTTGTAGCTGCCGGCTGCCTTGCTGGGTTTAGGAGGCGACTCCATTTGATCTCAGTGATTATCTGATATTGTAGAGTTTCCTTGTTTTTCCGATGGGTTTGCTCGTCTCGCTTGCGTCGCCTGCTTTTTATGGCCAGTGGCTATTGGCACATTGGTCAACGTGCCAAGTCATGTCTTATTTCTCTCACTTCAATTATTAATGCCTTTCAAAATATCTCACCCTTTTCCTGTTTGATTTCACTTGGTAAGTTGTCGGGGTAAATATCATGTCTTCCGCCCCTTCATTATTAATCCTACCATGTCCTATATCCTATTGATGTGGCCATAAGTCTAATAAACTCATAAATGCTTTAAGTTATCCAAGTAAACGATACAAATGAATGCATATTCTGCGTATAAAATTAGCTAGAGATCAGTATTGATAATCTTATCAAATTATTTCAAATTAAGACTCAATCAAATCATTTCAAATTAAGACTCAACTTTTTTCAATTTCTACGATCCCAGGATTTTGATGTCCTTTCTTTGACTTCAAAATGAATAGTGAAAAAAACCTTGTCGTGGGGGCTCTTCAAAAAAAACTAGATTAAACTAAAATGTAGTATAGTAATCTAACCTAGGTTGATTTACAAAAGAGCCCTTTTATATTATAATTCCTAAGCTAATCTACAAGTTAACAAAGTCACCTGGTAAGGCTAAACCATCCACCTCCAATTTGATAAGTCATCTTGGAGTTCGCTAATGTAGTCTTTTTCACAACGGGTGTTTGGACTTTTGGTGCAATGAATTGCCTCAATAATGCAACGGAGCACACGCATGCTTCCTACTTTATTTGATACCCCAGAATATGCGGATCTTTTTTTTCCGGTCAAAAAAACAAATATGCGGATCATTTTTAACATATACACCACTTGGCAACGTCACTCGTTTATATTTTCATTTCTATTAATTTTTTTTAATGTTGAGGTCAATTAACTGCATCATGAGTTTAATTTGTTAACTAATAAAGCCACTCCAAAACAAATAGTTGTCTTGTAAGTTTATATGCACAAACTGAAAAGAAATTGATTCTTCCTCCAATGCCCTTAGTATAAATTCAGATTGACCAAACTTGTAAGTCCTATGGATTGAAACAACTCAGGGCTGCTTATAGGGGGCTCTCATAATAAAACGACATCATCATGGTATTAAAAAAATACAATGTGCACATTAATTATATCATTTCCCATCTTTTTTTTTAATCAGTACTGGATTACAAAGCATTATAAACAAAGTCCAACAAAAACCTAGTTTCCTATCTCAACCTCCTCCTCCCTCATAGAAGGTGGTTGATCTAGAATACAAAAGTTACTCTCCATCAAATGAGAGAGTTTGGCTAAATGATCCGCCATGGGGATCTGTTCACTGGTGGTATGAATCGGGACAACAGCCTAGTTCCTATGAAATAATAATTTAGCATCATTAACAATATCTTTAAATGGGTAATTTTCATCACAGCCTCTACAAAACAAAGACATGGCCTCAACACAATCAGTGTATATCGCTATCTTCCTATAGTCTCTGCTCCAACAAAGTTGCAATCTATGAATCATGCCAAAAAGCTCAGCAACAACTAGCAATACGGGGATAGTCTTGCCGCTAAAACCCCCTATCTATTGTTCATGATTGTTGCAAACAACACCACCACAACCACTTCTTCCATTTGGTAAGACTAAACCATCCACCTCCAATTTGATAAAGTCATCTTGGAGTTGGTTAGTGACTCAGTGTAGTCTTTTTGGCAATGAGTGTTTGGACTTTCAGTGCAATGAATTGCCTCAATAATGTAATGGAGCAAACGCATGCTTCCTACTTTATTTGATACCCCTAAATATGCGGATTTTTTAACATATACACCACTTGGCAACGTCGGTTGTTTATATTTTCATCTATTAATTTTTTTTAATGTCGAGGTCAATTAACTGCATCATGAGTTTAATTTGTTAATTAATAAAGCCACTCCAAAACAAATAGTTGTCTTGTAAGTTTATATGCAAAAACTGAAAAGAAATTAATACTTCCTCCAATGCCCTCAATATAAATCACTTGTAAAAGAATAGTTTGATCAAAAATATAAGTCACTTGAAGAGTAAATAATACTTATTTATCAATTTTGTTTTTGCAATTAATGGTTCAATGTAATTTCTTGCATTTTTTCCTCTCATCCACAACATCATTTAATATGAATAAAATTAGAAAAATAATTTTAATTTGAATCACATTTAATGAATTTAATAAAGTAGAGCTCAATAGAGTATGTGAAAATTTAAATAAAAAATAAAAAGAATGGAAGAGCCACGGTGTCCGTGTTTATAATTCATGGATAGATAATCTCAATTGTTAGAGAAAAAAAATAATGTCAATTAGTGATTATTATTATTATTAGTTTGATTGATTATATATACACTTTGGGATTAAATATTTTCATAATAGTGAGGTTAGAGGCTTATAAAAGCATCAGCTGTCGGCGGCGTCATGTAAATAAATATAATTGCCGTCACAATATATAATCCATATAATTAAGGGAAAATGACACTAAGGTCCCATACAACACAAAATACTACAAAAAGGTTTCAGAAAATTTGGTAACAATTCTGAAGTCCCAAAGGGACTTGAGTGCAATTTGGTGAATTGTAAAAAGACACCTCTGTTCCTGGTGAGATGCACCCACACTAACTGAAAGCTATCCTGTTTTTCAGTCTGAAAATCGGCACTCCATACGTAGGAAGCAAGAGGGAAAAACCCAAACTTCATTCTGCTTTTTCCCCCATTCCCATATGAAAATCTCATTCACTCCATTAATGTCAATCATTGGCAAAAATCGCTTGTGTTTTTTGTTTGGTGTGTGTTTGGTCATTCAAGTTGGGGTTTTATTACAGGTGGGTAGGGTGATTATGGGTGTTTTGTTTCTGGGTATATTGTGGGTGAGTTGAAGGTGGGCTTGCTCTGTCTGGGCATGGTTCAGGGGGAATTGATGAGAAAGATGAAGGTTGGTGTGGTTAGAAACCCTTACTGCGAAATAGGAAAATATGTAGTTAATATAGACCACGACAGTTGTCAATATAGCTCATTGACTTGTCAATAGTAACAACATTGTACGGATTTACATTAACTGATTTTTTAAATTTTTTACACAAAGGCCATGACCTTCTGTACTCTTGACTCATTGGTAGAGGCCATAAAAGAGGAAGAAGAGGCAATAAAGAAGGATGAATAGTTACACGAGACAAAAGGAAAAAAAAAATCACTTTGATCCTAGACAAATGAAGGCAAAAGAATTTTTTCGTGAATAGAAGTGACAAATTTTTTTTGTAGATGTCACAACACACAAAAATAATTAGTTTGATACTGGATACATGTAACTATATGTTTTTTTTAGTGGGTTATTAAATCAGTATAATTACATTTATATGAGTTGTAAATGAAAGTTAGCTGTGTATTACATTCTGATGCATAGTTAATTGTCATCATCCGCACCCTTCATTGTCAATATATGCTTCATCACTTGTCACTCACTGCACCATCAGTTGTCAATTAATGTGCTAATATAAATTTAAAAAAATATGATTTTCGTTACATAATGTTATACAACGTCATACAATATCACTAATTTCTCAAAACTAATCCATTTTTTTATAATGTGATAAAGAATAGTTATTAAAAGTCAATCATCACTGATATGAAGTCATAAAATCACTTGTCATGAACAACATATTCACTTGTTAATGGTTTTGCTCTGTTCTGATGTTAGTTTAGTGGCAAAAGAAGAAAAAGATGAAGGTTAGTGTGGATAGAAACTTTTAGCATGAAATGAGATATTGTGTTGTCAATCAGGCTGCGATAGTTGTCAATGTGTGCCACAACAGTTGTCAACATAGCTCCTTGACTTGTCAATGACAGTTGCATGATTCTCAATGCAGGTTTAAATTATTGATGGCGAGTACATCTAGAAAGCATCTATTTTGCTTTATTCACATAGGGGGAAAGTTTATAAATAATGGAGAAGATGATATGAGATATGTAGGAGGTAGTGTAAGAATAACAAATATAAAGGAAGGCACAAGTTCTGAAGAATTGAAGGAAATTATATCATCAATTGCTAAAAAAGAAAGTAACTTATTTCTTTTGAAATACTCAGCTGTGTATAGCTCAACAGCACCCAATGTAGAAATTAACAACCTGAGTTATCCAAAATAACAAGTAATATAACAGGAGTTAATAACAAGTGATGTAACAATTTCATAACAAATGAATGTGTGAATATTAACAATTGATATTCAAAATTTTTACAACTGAAGGTGTCATTTATTTATAATGTTAAGTAATATTTGCATTAAAATATAATTATTAAGAAGAAGGTGTTACTCAAATTTATGTTCAATTGATAAGAGACAGTGCCTTTATTAGCAAGTCATAGTGTTCTATTGGCAAGTTACAATACTACTATTGACAAGTCATAGTGCCACCATTGACAAGTTAGAATGCTATCATTGACAATTGATAATTTGCCGTGGCTCCCCCATCCATCCCAAGGAGCTGTCATTTTGTGTAAGGCACCGAGGCGCCTGATCATATTCACCGCAGCACCTAACCCTTTCAAGAAATTATTTAACGAACAACAAGCCACAGTACTACCATTAACAAGTTACAGTGCCACCATTGACAAGTCATAGTGCGACTATTAACAAGTCATAGTGCCACCATTGACAAGTTATAGTGCTACCTTGACATTTTATTAATAATGATTATATATGACAATATAATCAAAATATAATATGACAGAGTAACTGAAAATATCATATGGTACTAAAATAGGTTATATAACTTGAATTCATATTGTTGACAACTTACATCAACAAATTAATTGACAAGTCACAGTGCTCCATTGACAAGTCATAACAGGTCCAATGACAATGCAAGGTGCAGGTAATAACAACTGAAATGACAGCAGCATCTAACATGTCAAGTTACACTAAAACCATTAACAAGTGAATATTTTGTTTATGACAAGTGATTTTATGACTTCATATCAGTGATGATTGACTTTTAATAACTATTCTACATCATATTATAAAAAATTGATTAGTTTTGAGGAATTAGTGATATTGTATGACGCTGTATAACATTATATAACAAAAATCATTTTTTTAAAATTTATATCAGCACATTAATTGACAACTGATGGTACAGTGAGTGACAAGTGACAAAACATATATTGACAATAAAAGATGCGAATAATGACAAACTATGCATCAGAATGTAATACACAACTAACTTTCATTTACAACTTCATATACATGTAATTACAGTGATTTTATAACCTATTAAAAAAACATATAGTTGCATGTATCTAGTATCAAACTAATTATTTTTATGTGTTGTGACATCTACAAAAAAAAATTTATGTTACTTCTATTTATGAAAAAATTCTTTTGCCATTATTTGTCGAGGATCAAAATGGTTTTTTTTTCTTTTTTTTTCTTTTGCCTCATGTAACTACTCACCCTTCTTTGTTGCCTCTTCGTCCTCTTTTTGTGACCTTTACTAATGAGTCAAGAGTACAGAAGGTCATGGCTTTTGTGTAAAAAATTTAAAAAATCAGTTAATGTAAATCTGTACAATGTTGTTACTATTGACAAGTCAATGAACTATATTGACAACTATCGCGGTCCATATTGATAACATATTTTCCTATTTTGTAGTAAGGATTTCTAATCAGACCAACCTTCATCTTTCTCATCAATTCCCCCTGAACCACCAACGTTAAATCTCGTTCATAGCCAGACTTGCTCTCTTAGGCCTCACCTAATTCTCTTAGGTTTGATCCTGCTCCATTGTTGCGTAGCAATAGAAGCCTGCTCATGCTGCTCCATTAAGATCTAATATTCCAGATAGGAATGATTTAGCTCGACAAAGGCCTAGACAGAGCAAGCCCACCTTCAACCCACCCACAATATACCCAGAAATAGAACACCTATAATCACCCTATGCACCTATAATAAAACCCCAACTTGAATCAGCAAACACACACCAAACCAAAAACACAAGCGATTTTTGCCAATAATTAACATCAATGGAGTGGATGAGATTTTCATATGGGAATGGGGGAAGAAGCATAATGAAATTTGGGTTTTTTCCCTCTTGCTTCCTACGTATGGAGTGTCAATTTTCAGACTAAAACAGGACAGCTTTCAGTTAGTGTGGATGCATCTCACTAGGGGCAAAAACGTCTTTTTACAATTCACCAAATTGCACTTAAGTTTTTTCAGGACTTCAGAATCCTTCCCAAATTTCTTGGAACTTTTTTGTAGTGTTTTGTGTTGCATGGGACCTCAATATCATTTTTCCTATAATTAATTTGCGAGGAGGCTGAGCCAGTTGGCACAGGTGCCTTCGTGCTAAAAATGGTCCGATTTGCTAACAAAGGTTGGACAAGACAAGCAGATCATCTATAGACCACATGTCGAGAGCTGGAAAAAATAGAAATAAAAGAGGGATTTTGCGTGGATTATATTCGTATCTTAAAGACACTCAAACTGCAGACACTTTATTTTTCTTCGCATTCGAAATTACATCATGTTGGAGTATTTGTCATATATCAATACTCAAAACCTTATTCATTACTCCCTCCGTTCCTTATTATAAGAGACGAATAACCGAATTACGTTGATCAAAAAAGCAGTTAAAATTAGTTAAGAACAATCAATGTATAAAAAATATAATTTCTTTTCCAAAAATGCCCTCATTAATAAGGAGAGAGAGTATGAGAGAGAACAATTAAATTATTGAAAGAAAGAGAAGGGGAATGGAGAGAGAGTGTGAGTTAGAGACAATAAATATGGATAAAATAGGAAATCAACACAAAAAAATAGAGACAACTTTTAAGTGTCTCTTATATATAGGAACATGCTATAAACATCAAATGTCTCTTATAATAAGGAACGGAGGGAGTAATTACTAGCACTCTTATATCTAGGACGAGCAACATATGCGCCAAAACCAGGAGCAAGAGCAAGGAAAATACCTACTCATATTTTACTTTCAGTGATTGAATGGAAGCCAAATACTCAAATTTCTCAAGCTGAGCCCAGAAAGAATCAACTAAATATCTCACCAACAATTTTAGATTCTCCTGCAGCATACAATGTTATCAGTACATAATTGCTTCAGACATTTAAGATGCACAGTACATAGGTATAAAAGAAAGAACCTTCCGGATATACTCAAAAAGTTCTAGAACTGCAGAGTTTAGCAGATTGTAGCGATGGCCATTGTCAACAAAAGCATCTACAATTGGTTTGAGAAGGTTGTTCCTAACAAAATTATTTATCAGATGCTCGTCCTGCAGGTCAACACTCCAAAATGTTAAGCAAAATGCTTAAAGGGGGTCAGCCAGCAGAAAATGGCAGCAAAACCAGAATAACATGGAAACAAAAGGAAATATAGGACACTAAACAAATTCAAACCATTCTTAACACTAACCCTCCTCCAAAAGCTACCCATAAAAGTGGAGAGCCTACTTGAACACCCTATTGAGGGTCCTATGCTACTTTATGTGAGATTTAGGCATCCCAATAGAATCTACAACACTTCACTCATCTTCCTTGTTAGTTAAATCCTCCAATGGTTAAAACCCTCAATAGGCAACCCTTTCCAGAACCAATGTCCATCAACTTTGATAACAATTGATAGGTACTCAAGTAAAATGAGAAACCCTCCCCCAAAAGTTAACTATTGAGGTTGGAGAGCCAATCTACATAGTGCTTGTTTGGAATGGCAGACGAATTCTTCATAATCAACTTTGCAATCATAATTAATGAAATATGAGGTAAGTATGTGAGAGGTTTGTTTCAAATTATGTGAATAAGTGCCTTTGAGGTGTCCAATTGTGATCCCAAACAAGCACATAAATACTGAGTAAGCACCCCATTACTACTCAATTTTGAAACTTGGATACCCTACTGCTCACCGCAAGATTTTGGCATAACATATCACCTAAGTGTCCATTAAAAAAACCATCAGTAATCTTACCCTAACATGAACTTGGGGATCAATGGACCATTAAAATTAACAAACACTTGCTTCTCAACTCCACCACCATACATTCTGCATTTCCCTAAAATTCATTGAACATTTGATTAGTGCAGATATTAAGACGCACATGACGAGAGAGGATAGTACGAACAAATCGAACAGCACCAACAACAAAGTATTTTTCCCTTCTTTTTGTCAAAAGCAAAATTTTGTCACTCACATTGTTCAAAAGGAAGTTGCACCTGCAAGCAACAGAAAAATTCACGTTCAAAATTAACATGAGTGGCAACAAATTCCTAAAGGTATATAAATCACATAATGCACAGCAGCAACATACTTTATCCTGTATGGGTGATGCAGCACACAAAAGCATAATAATTCGCATATGTTTGATAACATATCACCTAAAAACAATTGAAGAGAAACCTTGACTGAAACGATATTTTTTTTTTGGAGCAAAAAGTCCATTTATTAACAGTCAAAAAAAGTCACAACCACTAATAGCCCGGGGGCCAGAAACAAACACTCAAAAAAAACCTATCATACAACCTAACCCACCAAACTCACCAAAAGGAAAAAACAATATATTATTGTTAGTAATAATAACATGAAAGAGGAGGGTTGAAGAACCCCCTAATTACATGTCTTGTACACACTACAATTAAAAAGCAAACCAGCAATTAAAGGTCTAGCTCACAGCCGCACCACCCTTTCTATAATATCACACAGTTCTTATTAATATGGAAATAAACCACCAATATAGGTTTTGGTTGGAAGGAAGAGGGCTTCCATTGTTGACAATGCTTCCGTTGCCGTTGCCTTATGTAATGCCACCGTTGTGAACAAGCTTGCCGCCGCCGGCGATGTGGTAGGAAGGAGACTCATAACGGTTGCCGCAATTAGGGCCGTTGTTGTAGGTGACGTCTCCGATATTTTGAACGCCTGATCTGCTGCCTTGAGCCTGGGCCTGGGTTCCACTGTTGTAGCCTTCGGCTGATCCGCTGGCCTGAGCCTCCTGAGCCTGAGTCCGAGCCTGAGCCCGAGCCTGAGCAGGCTCCTGAGCCTGAGTCCGAGCCTGAGCCCGAACCTGAGCAGGCTCCTGAGCCTGAGCGTCGTTCTTCCCCACCATCCCCTTAGCTTCGTTCTCCCCCACCATCCCCTTAGCTTCGTCCTCCCCCACCATCCCCAGACGCCTTCTCATCGTCACCAGCACGGATCCCATTTGATCTCACCGATGGCGTTTCTCACTGATACAATACTTTGATTTTTTCTTTTTTATGGCTTTTCGTCTGCATCTTATAGATGGATAAGATGCACTGCTAAGAATCTGGGCCGTTCCTTCCTCCTTCTGGAGAACGCATCCCAACGGCCAGTGGCTATTTTCACATTAATGTGCAATGATACCCTAGCTCCGATCCTTAACTTTTATTTTGATACCTCAGTCTATTTTATCTCTTATATTTATGTATTTTTTTCAATATAATAGTAATTATAACCAATATACTTGATTAATAAATATATTTAAAAAAACAATACTTATTTATTACAAATAACTAATTCAATTTTTTTTAATAAAAGTCTATGTTTACCAAGTCAACGTGCGAAGTCATGTCTCATTGTCTCTCACTTTAATTTTCCTATTGTTGTAGCCATAAGTCTAATAAACTCACAAATACTTTAAGGGGGTGTTTGGCAAATGAGCCAGAAGTGCTTCTGGACCCCAAACCTTGGTTTAGAAAAGCTGATTGCCAAACACCCCTTTTTTTTTTTAAACCAAGGTTTCAGTCAAAACCTTGGTTTTGGCCAGCAAAACCAAGGTTTCCGGTAAGCGAAAATTTGTAGCTTCTGGAATGCAAATGTCTGATCGGATGGAGTAATAATTGGTCGGATGGAGTAATAATTGGTCCTGTCAGAAGCTCCAACGGTGAGAAATTACTCTGCCTCTTCTCCCATCCGTCGCCTTCAACCGATCTTTTGCCTCTTCTCCCATTCTGTCGTCGAAGATAGCACCGAACTTCTGCCTCTTCTCCCATTCCACCCGTCGCCTTCGACCGAGCCTCTTCCACCCGTCGCCTGTCGCCTTCGACCGAGCTTCGACCGAGCTTCTTCCACCCGTCGCCTGTCGCCTTCGACCGAGCTTCGACCGAGCTTCTTCCACCCGTCGCCTGTCGCCTTCGACCGAGCTTCTTCCACCCGTCGCCTGTCGCCTTCGACCGAGCTTCTTCCACCCGTCGCCTTCGACCGAGCTTCTAGGCACAGGTGAGATAGCACCGAAATACTCTGCCTCTTCTCCCATTCCTTTGCCGTCGCCTTTGACCGAACTTCTGGCCACAGGTGAGATCGTGTTGAGCTCGTGAATTTCGGCCCTGGTGAGGTGTTCATCGGCTTGGCAACACAAGATCATTCGGATCGAATTTCTGATAGCTGCGGTGTGCATTTCGTCCGGTCAGGTAACTTCTCCCCTTCATTTCTGATCTGATGCAATGAAGATGACTTGTTCATTTATCTGATCATTTCTGGGTGGAGTTCGATTAGCCATTACCGCCGGTGTCCTGTTTTTTTTTTTTTCCGGTCGACTGGTCCTGTTTGATTTTTTCCGGTGTCCAAACTCAAAGGCGTGAAGAAGATGCCTCATGGAAAACACGAAAAAAAAGATCAAAATGGGACCGGACTGGTGTTGGGGGCGGCTTATTAGTATTATGAAAATAATAACAAACTTTCCTGATTATTTGACATTTTGATCTATTTCGTTACTTGCTGGACTTTTTATTTTCACTGATTCTGAAATAAAAGCCAGTACTACAAGAAATGAAATATCTAGGATTGTTACCCAGTAGCAGTGTTTGGTTTTCAGCTGTGTTTATTTCTTGATGATGTTAAATGACCCACAATGTCTCAAAAATCAAACATGCTAAATGAAGTCATATTTTCGGTCTTGCTTTCATTGTAGCATATGGATTCCTGCTTCTATGGATTTTCCTGCTTCTATGGTTTACATAACAGTATAACACTTTTGGTTGAGTAAGATCCTTTGGTTGAAGTCAAACAGGCCTTGATGATGCCCCTCATACTCAAACTTGTTAAATACTATACTTGTTATATCATATCTCTTGGACTGAATGGCATGCTTTTTGGGTTGAACTTGTGATGACTAAAGTGTTGTAATTGGTCTATAGTATAATGAGTAAACAAACTAGCAAAGCTTCATGGGATATAAGAACCACAAAGGTTTTTATTGACCTGTGCATTGAAGAAGTTGGAAAAGGGGGAAGAAAAGGAACTAGCTTGAAAAAACCTGCTTGGACAAGTCTTGTGGACAGCTTCACTGCAAAGACTGGGAGAGTCTATACGAGAATCCAATTGAAAAACAAATATGATACCCTATGAAAGGAGTGGCAATTATGGGATAGGCTGCTCCGTGAGACCAGTTTAGGATGGGATGCCGAAAGGAATACTGTTAGTGCCCCTGATGAATGGTGGGAGAAGAAAATAGTGGTAATGGTTTAACTTTATTTGAGTTTATATTTTCTCACATGTTAACATTTTTTGTATAATGTATTACATTTTTGGTGTTGAATGCGCAGGAAGTTCCTGGCTACGAGAAATTTAGAGAAAGAGGGCTTCAGTTTCAGGCTGAATTGACTCAACTCTTTGGGTCTGTAGCTGCAACTGGACCACAGTCATGGGCACCTTCTTCCATGACACTTCCAAGCGAAGGAGTTCCTGAAGATGATATGGAAGAAGGGTCTGGAGATAGTGATGAACTTTTAGGAGCACCAACTGGCATAAGCGGGGAGTTTAATTCTGTCACATTCAATGACAATAGTGGAGGAAGTGGAGGCAACACTGGGATGAGACAGGAAACCATTCGTGGGGGTAGAAGCACAGGTGGCAGTCGACCTAGTAGCTCATTAGGGGTTAGAAGAAAAGGTGAATCCATGAAGAAGAAACCCACTACCACTATGAAAATAGCAGATGCACTAAGCAGGATAGCTCAAGCAAATGAAAATGACTCTCAGCGTGAACATGAAGAGATTTCAGAAGCACGTGCTAAGAAGGCAGAAGAAGAAGCACGTGCTTATGAGACGTCAATTGCCGGAGTCATGGAGCACCTTAATGAAGTTGATGAAGTTACTGATGATCCTGATCTGTTTTCCCGGTGCACAACACTCCTCATGGACAAGCCAGCTGCAAGGGAGATGTATGTGGCTCTGAAGAACAGGAGGGAAAAACTCCTGCTCTTCTTGAAGCATGCAACCAAGGATTGAGACTTCATTTGTGTTGCTTATCATAGTATTTGACTACTTTTTATGTTGCTTAGAAGATGACTGTGATAATTTGTGTATATTTTTAGGAATTATGTAATCAGCACTATTGTATTATGTGACTTTCAAATTCTGTAGGAATTAAAGAACTTATTTTCTTGTTAAATGTTTAGTAGTTTCATATCAAGGTTTCTAAATTTTATGTCTATGTGCACAGGACAAGACAAAAAATGGATGATGAAATTAAAATTGCGGAAAAGTATCGTAAACGACGGAACAAACGGGTTAATCAAGTTGCAGTAGCGGTTGGTGGATACGCTTCTCTTCATTTGTGTAAAGAGCCCCAGCATACAAGTATTTATACAGGCAAGGCATGGGTAAGGGATGTTTTACAAGGCCATTCCACCCATTGTTATAATATGTTTAGGATGGAAAGGGAAGTGTTTTTCAATCTTTGCACCGAATTGCAACAACACGGTCTAAGGGAAACTAGAAATGTTGGGATACATGAAATGGTTGCAATGTTTTTAAATACTGTTGGCCATGCGCTTAGTAGTAGGATGCAGCAAGAGAGATTCCAACATTCAGGGGAGACAATTAGTAGACATTTTCATAATGTCTTATTGGCATGCTGTAGACTTGCTATGTCCAATATCAAACCAAAAGATCCAACATTTCAGCATTTGCATACAAAAATACGACCCGGTGGTCGATACTGGCCCTTTTTCAAACATGCTATTGGAGCAATTGATGGAACACATATTTCATGCATTGTTGATGTAACTGAGCAAACAAAATTTATTAACCGAAAAGGAAGAGTGACGCAAAATGTAATGGCGGTTTGTGATTGGGACATGTGCTTCACTTTTGTATTGGCCGGATGGGAAGGTAGTGCACATGATGCTCGTATATTTGACCACGCCCTCACAACTCCTTCCATGAACTTTCCCCATCCGCCTCAAGGTATATTTTAATTTGCTACAATTTAATTTATTTATGCTTAACTATTAGAAAACAAAGTTTATTAACACCAATCATATATTTCATGTAGGCAAATATTATTTGGTCGATGCTGGCTATCCGACACCCATGGGATATCTTGGCCCCTACAGACGTGAACGCTACCATCTCCCTGATTTTCGAAGGTCATCTGCATTTGAAAATGACAATGAGGTGTTCAATTATTTGCACTCAAATCTACGGAGCACTATTGAAAGAACTTTTGGAGTTTGGAAGAGTAAGTTTGCAATTTTAGAAAACATGCCAAGCTATGACTTTCCAACACAGGTTCAAATTGTTTGTGCAACGATGGCCATACATAACTTCATTAGATCAACATCCATTTCTGATCCTGGTTTCACTCAATTTGAACAAGAAGGTTCTTATGCAAAAGAAAATAATGATGATGATGGAGTTGGATCTTCACATATACCTTCATCAATAGAATCTTCATCTCACATGGCTCGACTTCGTGACTCAATTAGAGATCAAATTGTTCACTATATACAAGAATAGTCATGTCCTTTTTATTTCCTTTTTTCTTTTCAGATAATATAATGTGTTGTTAGAAAAAAAAAAGTACTTGGACAAATATATTTCGTTGCAACCTCTATTATGAAGACAATTGATATGAAATTTTTGTGTGTGGTTCTTTAATTCTGTCAAAAAAAAATTATGGGATTTCTTCATCTTTAAAATCTTTAAGAAATAATCATATTTTTTTGTTGGCAAAATAAATTTTTTATGAAAAACATATTTAATTATTTTATTAATATATATACGTTTTAATTTTAATTATTTTATTAATATATATTATTTATTAATATATATATACGTTTTTAATTATTTTCTTAAATTATTTCGCAAAAAAATATTTATTTATTTTATTAATATATATACGTATTAATTTTTTGATTAATATTTTGTATTTATTTCAAATTAACATATATTATGCAATATATCTTATATGTAATTATCATTTAAGCTTATGTCCTTTTTAGTAATTTTTACATATAAAAAAGCACTTCTGACAATAACTATCCAAACACTCTTACTTTATCAGAATCACTTTTTCAGAAAAGCTATTCTTTCAAAATCTATTCTCTCCAGAATCTATTCTCCAGAAGCTATTCTCCAAACCATGGTTTGAGGTTATCCAAACACCCCCTAAGTTAGTTAGTTCCAAGCTGCGTATAAAATTAGCTAGAGATCGGTATTGATAATCTCGTCAAATTATTTCAAATTAAGACTCAGCTTTTTTCACTTTCTACGACCTTAGGGTTTTGATGTCCTTTCTCCGAGTTCAAAATGATTAGATTAAGGAACATCTATAATTGGGGTTTTCTAGATGATTAATATATATATATATGAATGAATTCGAATTTGATAAAAAATCATAATTCTTACTTGTGGGATATTCCAGGAACTTATAATAGTCTAATGAATACCATGCGATCAATCGGATTCACTCATATTCAGTTCTATCGTTTCACCTTTGTATTTATTTTTTTGATAAAATATATTTGTTCACTGTTAACTTTTGAAGTCTTGCATAAAATCTAATACAAAAACCAAAAGGAAAAAAAAAGGACTCTTTTTTTTAAAAAAAAAATGAATGATCTTTCAAGGAAGCACCAGTGACTTGGCTTATAACTACGAGCTGATGTGAATGAAAACGAAGTTAGATTAATGGCTGGTGAAGAATGAAGAATAAGGCCTGGGAGTGCGTACGTGTCAGGTCAATGGAGGCTCCCATGACAAAATGAATAGAAAAGATGCTACTTGAAAACCTGGGAACCTCGGCTTAATCGATAATACCACAATTTTCTTGTCCATTGTCAAATTTTACCCAGTTTGAGTGTTTTGACTAGCCACTCAAATTCACGCTTTTTAGCTCATTCTTCAACTTGATGCAGCCACATGGCGATGGCTCTCCCCCGTACATGCACAAGTTAGTCAATATTTTAATTTGTAAATCAAAGTATGATAGATATGCAAGATATCTCATTGATCCATGCATCCAGACATAACAATTTAAGATATATAATTTGGCAGAAATAGAAAAAGAGATGCAATTTGTTTTTCCCCTATAAATTAAAGATGCCAACTGTGATCTATAGTTAATCTGAGTCAATTAATGTAAAAATAACTCTTTTTATGTATAAAATTGCGTAGTTTTTGTAATGGATCTTTTATGAAGTTGTGAGGGATTGAATTAATAGTAGCTGTAAGCCAGCCAGTCAGATACATAAATTTTTTTAACAAATTTATAGAAGTCTATCCAAAACCATGAAAAAGACTCGATCGAAGTTTCAAATCTGATTAGTAAGACTGACCAAACTTCTAAGTCCTATGGACCGAAACAACTTAGGGCTGCTTATACAAGACTCTCATAATAAAACGGCATCATCATGACATTAAAAAAAAAAAAAAACAATGTGCGCATTAATTATATCATTTCCTATCTATTTTGGGAAGGGGAAAAAATAGGTTTTAGACTTTTGGTGCAATGAATTGCCTCGATAATGTAACGGAGTAAACGCACACCTCCTACTTTATTTGATATCCCTAAATATGCGGATCTTTTTTAATATATACCGGTTCTAAACCTCTCCTCTTCCTTTCTTATCCTCTTTCCTTTTTAATCGTTAGATTAATATTTTAACGGTTCAGATTTAAATCTTTTTAAAACTATTATTAAAATATTAAATTATAAAAATAAATAAATAATAAATTACAAACTATATTAAAATTTTCAATCTCTTCACCGGTGGCCACAGTTTGGGCTGCAGCAAACAAAAAACAGTGTCATACGTTCTTCCCCTCTGGCCGTCGCCTGCATAAATTCAGAAACTTGTTAAAACCAAAGTACTTCTACATTCGTGTTTTGAATCTGCAGAATCAAACAAAATATTGCATTTCTCCGACTTCTGTCTAACACGACAAGCTTATGGGCATTGGCGGTACTGGAACAAATCTTTTGTAGCTTCCTTCAACTAATTAGAAGCCAAACTCTATAAAGAAAAGTGAAAATCAGAGTCAATGCCATAGAAAAAGATGGCCAAACCAGTGTACCTAAAGCATGTTGTGTTCTAAAAATAAGTAAATCACCCTAAATCATATGCCATCCGTTTTACCCGTATCATGCAAATAGACACCATAACAACACCCCCCAGATTCTGACATATCTGCTCTTTTTATACGCTATTGTCTTCCTACGTCATTTGAGAATCAAATTCAACTGCAAATAAAAACCATGTTCTTATCGGTTATAATAGATTTTAAATCATACGTGGGTGTGCGCCCTTAATTTTAATTTATAACACGTACATTTGATTATTACTGATTTGACTACTGTCCAACAACTACTAAATTGTAAAGTAGTGCTTTTATCAGTTCAATAAATGAACAGTCATGACATCGTATCATCCCACTTCCGACTAATTAAGTATAATGTTATTAAAAACGCTATTTCACTGTCAGGAAAATTTTAGCATAGTCTGTATCTTCAGGCTTAGCTTTGAGTTACAGTTATTTCTGTCCAAACGTGAGCAGTGTTGTGTGTTTCCACAACCAAAAAAGACCTAACTAACAGTTCTCCCTCCACTCCACAATCTGGTTTTCCCAACGTTAGACCATTTAGTGCTAATATTAAGGAAGTTATCAGTTTCATGCTGTTCCCAAGAGCAGATTCATGATTGACCACAAATTGTTATCATTCCCCTCCCTTCCCATCTTAATGCAAAACTGCCCACAGGTAGAAGAGGGATTTAACCTGGAAAAAAACAGCTTCTCCATGGTTGCATTGAGTACAACGAACAGACTTTGTACGTGGAAGAGTAGGGTCTGCAGCTATATCCTGCAGCACTTGAGTGCGCTCCCCAACAGAATGATGTATCTCATTTCTATAGACACATTTATTATCTGCAGCCTCCAGAAAATGACGAGTAACTGATCAACAGGTATGAGGCTGAGCATACTCATGTGAAATTGGATGCAATTCCTCCATAACAAAAACATCAGCAATTAATTTTTATAAGAAAGCATGGCAGTGTAAAACAAAATTTATAATCGAAGTGCAAAAAAATGTGAACAGAAACACTGGCAATAAAACCAACATGGGTTCAGAAAAGTGCTATAATGAAAATATATTCTAAACAAAAACCACTGCGCCTTAAGTCATAGGCATCTGTGTGGCTACCTTGGACTTATTGGCTCCAAGATTTTGGGCATTTAAACAGTATGGAGGCAGAGCAGCCACACAATACTAACCGACCAAAATAAGTATAACATACCTAGAAGGTTGAGTTTTTCAATCATCAAATAACTTACAGTATTACAAAGTGAGGACAATTTTCCTTTGAATCGACATGCATCAAAATTATAAAACCCAAAATACTAAGAAAGCGTGATTGAGGAATAGAATATCATATGCACGTTTATTCCAAACCAATTAGATTTCATTTACATAATAAAATGAACATGATGGTAATGAAAGTATTCTAATTTATCAACAGCAGTTGGGTTAAATGGTGAGAGACTTGACACAATCTAAGCAAAATCTTGAATTTGAGCTTTGTGGACGGAAGAAAAACCACATTGGAAGAGCTTCCCCCTCACTGGAGCTCAACCCAACTCAAAGCTAGATCAATTGGCAGTATTGGATGGGGATGGTTAATCACCAAAAAAGAAATATATAATTTTGATGCATTTTATGAACATTGAGATGAAGGCTAAAAGGCATCCTTTAACCCTCTTTGAAGCCCAAAAATATTTTGGAGAGGGTGAAATTTGTTTTTAGGAAATTAAATAATGGCAGGAGCTTTATAAGCTGAATCAATTCACATATACCAAAAGACTTGACATTTCTAAAGGACATAATGAGTCAATTTGCATTTGACTTTGGGTAGAAAACAATGGAAACGGCCTATTAATAAGAATGGAATGTGAGTCGCGGAGTGAAAATATAAGAACAGCAGTTCCATAGAAGTCCAATGATTCAGTCCCTTAACTCAAAAATGAATGTAAAGAAGTGCCATTCATATATTTAATGAACCAAGAAAAAATACATCAGATTTCAAAAATTATATTCCATCTTATAAAAAAGAATTGAGTAGATGATCTTGTTCGCATCAAACTCACTGTAGAAAAATGTAGCTCTTCTATAGTGCAATCTTCCATATATAGATTACTAAACAAACCAAGGCGTCTGAGCCTTGGCATTCTAGAAACATTTAGTAGGTAGAATCTTCAAACAAAATTCATAATTAAGCTCCTCAATAGCAAAAATACATCAGAAGGAGTAAATGATCAGAGCAGAAACCCGTAAGTTCTTTCTCTAACGAGGCATATTGCTTCGAGAGAAACATGTCATCAGAGTAAACCTAAAAATAGTTGGATAAGTAACTAGAGTGTCTATTCAGTAAGTCTAACACTTTGCAGCAACGCATGAACAAGAAGGAAGGTTAAAGGGGAGAAAGAGGGGGGGAGAGCGGAGGTAAGCTAAACTAAACAAGAACCTGGTGGTCACAGTTACGGCAAGCGTAGAGGAGAATCTTCTGCTCCTTCTCCTCCTTAGGATACAGAATGCTGTTGCTGAAATCAAGAGATGAAGAAAATAATGTGAAGATGGAAGCCCATGTTCAACGTCGTAAAAGCATCGCAATGAAGGTAAGGAAGACAGGTAGCAACCATTCGCGGCAAAACTTCATAGTACTCATCTTGGAAGGGCCAAGAAGGAGACGCTGGAGATTGGAAGGAGCGAAAACAAAAACTGAAACTTCCGGAGAATAGAGCTCAGGGCTTTCGATTCCCGCGGGTGGAGGTTGCCCTGGGTCTTTTGGCGGGCGCCTATGCCAAGACTTCGCATAAAAACTGGCTAAATAATGCGCACAGCTGAATTTTCAATTTTGAATTTTTAAGGGTATGTGTAGATAACAATTTTTATGCAACCAACTTCATCGTCATCAATTTATCCATTATTTATTTATAAAATGTAACATACAAATGTATTTAAATATGATATCTCCAAATTTAAAATGGCTTTTTGGCTGGCCAAAAAAATAGTGTTTTTTCCCACCAGATTTAAAGAGGTTATCTGCTAAAGAAGTTAAATCTAGAGGCACATATATATATACATGTATAACTTCAAGAATACTGTATACCCACACTGAAAAAAATGTGCTAACTAATAGACCCAAAAAAAAAAAATCTGCACAAACTAAGAAATGAAGAGGATTCGTTAGTAATGTTTAAACAGTAAAAAATTACTTCCTCATGGCTTAAATATCAAGAAAATTTTATATAATTAAACAATAAAAATTTATTGAATACGCGTGATTACCGTGATAAATGTATTTAACCGGTTCATTCATACGCCACGCTTAATTTTGTGATTTTTGAAAAACAAAAAGAATGTTATAGACATATTCCACAAAAAGAAAGTCATGAATACGTCTACAGACTTAATGATTGCTTATAGAAACACTTACGTAGAATTTAAACTCATGTTTTTGAGTCATGAGTCAAACTCGTTACTGGTTCTGTGAGAAGGAGCAAAGAATGAGAAAGACCAAAAATGGAGAAATGGATTCTCTCACCTTACTTAATGGTCATTTGAAATAAACTTTTTCATATCCAGTGATCTAGCATCATGGGGAGGATGATTGAAGAGAAGATAATGCTATCCTAGTTGTCCTTAATAGAAACCAGCTCTGAAAAATCACAAGCTGTGTTTCCAATGATCAAATAACATTATCCATCATTGTCAAGCCATCAACTAAACCTATTTAATTCCAGATTATGGAAAAAGTTGAATCTGTAAAAGGAAAATGAGCCTGAAATTCAATGCCGCTTGTTTCCTCTGTTCATAAAAGCCGGCCTACTCTGCTAAATGCACAAGGAATCTGGGCATCAAAGTAATCTGACCGTGTCATTTTCTGCCAGCATGTTTGGTTTAACGTTGAAAATCATCAAATGCATCATCCAGAAGCCTCAGCCGTCCCATTCAATCGACTTAATTGAATCTAGGCTAACACACAGAACAGATAGATATAGGGTAATAATTCCTTCCAGTTTAAATAACTCAGGCATATTTAGCTTATCATACGTCAATCTTCCCCTTCTTACCGCTTTAGAAGCCACGGAACACGTCGTTTCTGGTTGTGAGAAGGACAGGTGAAGTACAAAGTCCACAACACAGAGGAACGAATTCTCTCAACTCCGTTAATGGTCAGTTGATACTAAGGGGGGGAAAAAATCATTTTCAGAGAGTTGGGATGCTTGAACAGCAGGAATATAACAAGTTTATTAGTTGTTCTCGCCAATTTAGAATTTAGAATTTATATTACATGCATGTCCAGTATTTCGGTTGATCTAAACATGATCCATCATTATAAAGTCATCAACGGAATCTAGTTAATACCAGATGCAAGAGGTTTGAGATTGAATGCTGTTTATTGAATAAAAAACCAGATCATCAGGTAGCTAAATCGTAACAGAAGTACGATTGAAGGGGTTTAATATTAGACTCATAAACGCAAGTATAATAATATAGAGGGATACAGCCTAACAACAATGATACACAGTAATAGAATTGTGATGCCCCAAAAGGATACTTTCATTAAGAAACACCTTGAACCAATCCTACTTGATTGGTGATGCCACTGACGTCTTGCTTTCCTCTGTTGCCAAACACGCCTGTTACTTCCATTAAGAATTCATCACACGCATGCAAATATGAAGAAGCATGTACATAATTAATCATGCAATATTACACCGCAGCAGCTTTGAGGAAGCTGTTGGAGACGCGATTGAGAAGAGGATGGCCGAAGTCGAAGAGGGGAACTTCATTATCAAAGCTACGAAGTTCCTGCGTCAGAGATCTGGAATCCAAGTTCTTGCTGCTCATCTTTACTCCCTCACACTCACAAAGCCAAGCCTCCTCTTCTTTCGTTATATTGTTCCCCAGCCTCCAACAATGCACCGCACACAACTACTTCTCATAACAAGTGTTATCATCACTTGTGCGTGGCTCTTACTGCTGTTGCCAACCCATTTCCAACTTCCTTCTCTGTATGCATTTTCTTTTAGTAACCTAAATTTCAGCCCTTTTCACCCTTGTCCATATTGCATTAGCAACAACTCATGCTTTTTTTTTTTTGTAAATTCCCTGACTGTTTTTAAATTCACCTTTATGTTCATGTTTTTGACTTTTTATGCTGCAAACCAACTGGTTCTTCCGACCCAAAAAACAGAAACCAACTGTTTCTTCCCTACTAAAAGTGGGAAGAGGAACAAGTACGTTCAATTTGCTCTCCGCGCTTAGTCAATCTTTTGTTATATGGGGAAAAAACTCATTTACATTCATTGCTTTTTTTTTTTTTGGGACCTAAAATTTATATTCATTGTTTGAGAGAGAAATGTTCGCTTGATCCAATGTCAGATCCTCCAACGATGCAACATCTAAACATTTTAAATTCATCATTAATTTGAATTAACCTAATGTCGCCACTTTGAATTCGACTGCAACAGACCACACATTAAGATTTTTTTCTGGTAAGCACAGATATCCTTTTATTAAAAACACTATTAAACACTAAATATAAATATATCTTATTGAAGAGCCAATCTACATAGTGCTTGTTTGGAATGGCAGGCGAATTCTTCATAATCAACTCTGCAATCATAATTAATGGAACATAAGATAAGCATGTGAGAGGTTTGATTCAAATTATGTGAATAAGTGCTTTTGGGGTGTCCAATTGTGATCCCAAACAAGCACATAAATACCGATTAAGCACCCCATTACTACTCAATTTTGAAACCTAGATACCATACTGCTCACAGCAAGACTTTGGCATAACATACCACCTGAGTGTCCATTAAAAAAACCATCAGTAATCTTATCCTAACATGAACTTGGGAACCAAAGGACCATTAAAATTAACAAACACTTGCTTCTCAGCTCCACCACCATACATTCTGCATTTCCCTGAAATTCATCGAACATTTTATTAGTGCAGATATTAAGACTCACATAACACGAGAGGATAGTACGAACAAATCGAACAGCACCAAAAACTAAGTATTCCTCCCTTCTTTTTGTCAAAAGCAAAATTTTGTCAATCACATTGTTCAAAAGGAAGTTGCACCAGCAAGCAACAGAAAAATTCACGTTGAAAATTAACATGAGCAGCAACAAATTCCTAAAGGTATATCAATCACATAATGCACAGCAGCAACATAATTTATCCTGTATGGGTGATGCAGCACACAAAAGCATAATAATTCGCATATGTTTGGTAATATTTCTGGTTTTGTTTCCATCTGACACTTGACCATTTGACTGGGATCCACTGAAGTGCTACTTGCACGAGCAACAGAAGGACATGATGCTGTTATTACTAAGATAATGCTTCTCATAGAAGATATCAATAATAGTGTCCCGCTGTCGGGAAGAAAACAAAATTAAAATAGTGAATACAACTAGTCCAGTAATAACAATCTAACGAACTTAGAAAGAGACCTCCATCTTACACGAAAACTGACAAGTTTTCCACCAAATCAGCAGACTCGTGATAAAACACAAGTCAGCATTCAAAATTAAGACCTGCATAAAAAAACTCACACGTGTTGACTCCAACTGAAAAGGCCATTATAAAGCAAGAAAACTAAAACCACCTATTAAACCAAACCGAAACCTTCCACCATATCCAACCCAATAATTCCCCCCTCCCTCCTCCTATCATTTGCCCCCAAAAAATGACATGATACTAACGCTTCCAGTTGGATGCTAACCGTTAACAGCATATGAACCACATACATGACTAACGGTACTTTCAGAACATAGTATATCCATGGTGATTGGAAACATATTGGACCCATACCGAACTAATTAGCTGCAAATTCTGTAAATATTAACCATTAGTATGTGGGTTGGTGGATAATTGCAGACTACATAACAAAACAGTGAATCACACCTTCCTACATAGAAATCACCATGCTCAGCTTAGCTAGGAGAGGACATACTAAAGATGTCTCAAACAAAATCAACCACATTAGGTAGACATCAACTAGCGGAAACTCAAGAAGATTTTGAGACAATTTGAGACCATCCATAACAATGGTAGCAACAGTTGCGATTTAGCAGCAAAACCTCTTATTGGTATTAAATTTAATTATTTACTGCATTCTGCAGATAATGCATTCTTAATAATTATTAATACTCATATTAAGTACGCGCATCCAACCATAAGAAGGAATTTCCGCTTCCGTGCTTGATTGAGTTATATGTGATCCATCTGATCATTTTAGTAGCTAAGTCATAATTTCCCTAAAAAGAATCGGATCTTCAGATTATCACACGCATAAGACTGAGATATCATTGGCAGTACAGAGACCCTAAAAACAATTGAAGAGAAGCCTCAACTGAAACGATATATTTTCTTCTTTTGGAGCAAAAAAGTCCATTTTATTAATACTCAAAAAAAGTTACAGCCCCAAAAACAAACACTCAAAAAGAATCATACAACCTAACCCACCAAACTCACCAAAAGAAAGGGCTTCCATTGTTCACAATGCTCCCGTTGCCGTTGCCTTATGTAGCGCCACTCTTGTGAACAAACTTGCCAACGCCGAAATTTTGAGCGCCTGAATTAGAGCCGTTGTTGTAGCTGACGATTCCGAAACTTTGAGCGCCTGATCCGCTGTTAGTGAATGAGCCTTGGGTTCCACTGTTGTAGCCCCCGCCTGATCTGCTGGCCTGAGCCTGAGCTTCGTTCTCCCCCATCATCCCCACAAGCCTTCTCATCGTCATAAGCACCGATCCCATTTGATCTCACCGATGGAGTTTCTCACTGATACAATACTTTGATTTTTCCTTTTTAATGGCTTTTCGTCTGCGTCCTATAGATGTACTGCTAAGAATCTGGACCGTTCCTTCCTCCTTTCTAGAGAACGCATCGAAGCTTATTATTAATGGCCGGTGCCTATTTTCACGTTATCGTGAAATATGATATCTCAATCTATTTTGTCTCTTATATTTATATATTTTTTTAATATAATCTTTTTAAAAATAGTTGTTATAATCAATATACTTGATTAGTAAGTATATTTTTTAAAAAATAACACTTATTTATTATAAATAACTAATTTAATTTTTTTTTAATTTTTTTAAATCAGTCAACTAACTTTTATAAATAGAACCGCAGTAATAACAGTCTATATTTACCAAGTCAACGGGCAAAGACACGTCTCATTGTCTCTCACTTCAATTATCCTATTGATGTAGCCATAAGTCTAATAAACTCATAAATATTTTAAGTTAGTTCCAAGTAAACGATACAAATGACTGCACATTCTGTATATAAAATTAGCTAGAGATCAGTATTGAGAATCTCATCAAATTATTTCAAATTAAGACTCAACTTTTTTCACTTTCTACGATCCTAAGGTTATGATGTCCTCTTTTCGACTTCAAAATGATTAGATTAAGGAACTTACATAAATAGGGGTTTTCTAGATGATTAATATATATATATATATGAATGAATTCAAATTTGATATAAAAAATCATAATTCTTGCTTGTGGGATATTCCAGGAACTCATGATAGTCTAATGAATACCATGCGATCAATCGGATTCACTCATATTCAGTTCTATCGTTTCACTTTTGTTTTTATTTTTTTGATAAAATATATTTGTTCACTGTTAACTTTTGAAGTCTTGTATGAAATCTACTACAAAAACCAAAAGGAAAAAAAAAGAGGAGTATTTAAAAAAAAATTGAATGATCTTTCAAGGACGCACCGGTGACTTGGCTTATTTTAACTACGAGCCGATATGAATGAAAATGAAGTTAGATTAATGGTTGGTGAAGAATGAAGAATAAGCCCTTGGAGTGCGCACGTGTGAGGTCAATGGAGGCTCCCATGACAAAATGAATAGAAAAGATGCTACTTGAAAACCTGGGAACCTCGGCTTAATCGATAATACCACAATTTTCTTGTCCATTGTCAAATTTTACCCAGTTTGAGTGTTTTGACTAGCCACTCAAATTCACGCTTTTTAGCTCATTCTTCAACTTGATGCAGCCACATGGCGATGGCTCTCCCCCGTACATGCACAAGTTAGTCAATATTTTAATTTGTAAATCAAAGTATGATAGATATGCAATATATCTCATTGATCCATGCATCCAGACATAATTAAGAACTTAAGATATATATAATTTGGCAGAAATAGAAAATGAGATGCAATTTGTTTTTCCCCTATAAATTGACAGATACCAACTGTGATCCATAGTTAATCTGAGTCAATTAATGTAAAAATAACTCTCTTTATGTATAAAATTACGTACTTTTTGTAATGGATCTTTTATGAAGTTGTAAGGGATTGAATTAATAGTAGCTGTAAGCCAGCCAGTCAGATACAAAAAATTTATTGACAAATTGACAAACAAATTTATGGAAGTCTATCCAAAACCATGAAAGGGACTCGATCGAAGTTTCAAATCTGATTGGTAAGACTGACCAAACTTGTAAGTCCTATGGATTGAAACAACTTAGGGCGGCTTAAATGGGGCTCTAAAAAAAAAAATACAATGTGCGCATTAATTATATCATTTCCTATCTATTTTGGGAAGGGGAAAAAATAGGTTTTGGACTTTTGGTGCAATGAATTGCCTCAATAATGCAACGGAGTAGACGCATGCCTCCTATTTTATTTGATACCCCTAAATATGTGGATCTTTTTTAAGATATACCGATTTATAACCTCTCCTCTTTTTTTCACATCCTCTTTCCTTTTTAACCTTTTTTTTAACCGTTAGATTAATATTTTAACGGTTTAGATTTAAATCTTTTTAAAACTATTATTAAAATATTAAATTATAAAAATAAATAAATAATAAATTACAAACTATATTAAAATTTAATTCTAATCATTTGTAAATACACTACATGTTTTCAAAAAAAAATTATAAAAAATTAAAATCTAAAAAAAGAAAAGGATGGGAAGGAACGGGAAGAGGCTACGAATTTTTCAACATGGAGAAGTTAATTAATGACTTCAATCCGTTATCAGAAAACAAGTTTAACTACCATTTTCATTAAACAGATTGAGATATTGCTCAACTTAATTTTCCACTGGTAAACAAAATCAAGCAAATTCACATTCATATACATATAAAGGCACATGAGATAGACATTAAGGGGAATATATCATAATTACCCCATTGAAAGGACTCCTTTCCGCTATTCTTGATCTGAGCAGCAAAAAAACAAAGGTAAAAGAATCAAGACTAAGAAACATTACTGGGGAATAAATGAGCATAAGGTTGCTTATAAACTCACCATGGCCTCAAGAGATTTGCTGTTAAGTCTCTCCTGGGTACGTGCACGGAACATTTAAGCAACAAATAAGCAGAGTAAATTTGAAAGAGAGAGTCAGATATACAAAATTTAGATGGCCGAATATGATGTACCTCCGAGACCAGGAAAACGAGCTCTTTTGGCATCTGAAACATCGGGTACGATGCTGCCACCATTATCAAGGCTCGCTCCTAGAAAATCATTTACATTACAGGTGTAAAAACGGTGACTTCAGAAGAAGAGAGACGAGCGGGGAAGAAGAAGGGAGAAGCATGGCACCTTCGACAGCCGTGAAATAAGCCTCACGGGACATAGCTTGGATAGCTCCTATCTGTCACAGATTGGAGAGACAAGAGGAGTTCATCACATGCATGCAAATATGAAGAAGCATGTAAATAATTAACCATGCAATATTATACCGCAGCAGCTTTGAGGAAGCTGTTGGAGACGCGATTGAGAAGAGGATGGCCGAAGTCGAAGAGGGGAACTTCATTATCAAAGCTACGAAGTCCCTGTATCAGAGATCTGGAATCCAAGTTCTTGCTGCTCATCTTTGCTCCCTCACACTCACAAAGCCAAGCTTCCTCTTCTTTCGTTATATTGTTCCCCAGCCTACAACAATGCACCGCACACAACTACTACTCATAACACGTGTTGCTATCACTCGCACGTGGCACTTTCTGCTGTTGCCAACCCATTTGCCACTTCCTTCTCTGTATGCATTTTAGTAACCTAAATTTCAACCCTTTTAACCCTTGTCCATCTTGTATTAGTAATAACTCATGCCTCTTTTGTTTTTTTTTTTTCCATTCCCTGACTTTTTATATTCGCCTTTATGTTCATGCTTCTGAGTTTTTGTTCTGCAAAGCAACCGGTCTTCCGACAGAGAAAACAAAAATGAACAGTTTCTTCCCTGCTAAAAGCGGAAGAGCGGCAACTACGTTTAATTTGCTCTCTTCAAGACGCTTAATTGTCAATCTTTAGTTGTATTGGGGTATATTTATTGTTTGAGAGAGAAATGTTCGCTTGATCCAATATAAGATACTCCAGTAATAAAAACATCTGAACAGTTTAAATTTACCACTAATTTGAATTAATCTATAGTAGCCACTTCGAATTCGGCTGCAACATTACCTAGGACCACACTTTAGGATTTTATATAGACATAATTATCTTCCTAGTAGATACAATCCAACTCGAGTCCGACACTAAATATAGATACCTCTTCTAATAAGAATTTATCATGTTATGAGAGATTAACCCCTTCTACTAGACCCAACTCTTAATTGGTAAACACCTGAGGATTTTACATCTCGCTCAAGCTGATGTTACGGACAGGACTCCAACCTCTGACGTGTCTTTCATGTAACCCTTAACTTCTTTTTGGAAAGTAATCTGGAGTTTGAAAAATAGTTGCGATCAAGAATGTAACAGAAAAACAGGGGCGCAGGAGTAACAGAAACACAGAAGTAACTTTAAATGTCTGATGGTGAAGACAAGTGTGGTTATCCAGAAATAGAACAACTAAAGTTGAAAAATACATTGAAATTTTAATATTTAAATATACACTGGATTCTTTTAACTCGCTACATTTGCTAAAAATTGACCCTACAAACTCACTGCACAATCCTGTTACCATATCCACCGCAAAAACATTTAAAAAAAAAATGAGAAAACCTGTGGAAGGCAGATATTGATGCCCTGGATCACCAAGTTCAAGCAACCGAAAAAGGGAATGATGGTAACAGGACTCTATCTCCCTCACCCCCATTCCCCAACCCACCCTCTTTTCTGGCAGGATTTATGAAAAGGGCTCGAGTAAGCAAAAAAAAACAGAGAGAGCAGAGAAAGGGAAAGAAAAAGAAAAGATGAAAATTAATGCTGATGAATGTTATACAAAAAAGCAAGAAATTACTAGACAAGGAGCCGGAGGAGAGGATAAGATCCAAGTTGATGGCATTAATATCTTCCCCGCCTCTTAGGTGCCACGCTATGTTATCTCCTCGTGATCCTCTTTGGCGGTATGGTACCTAGCGACATTTCCCCCATGTCCCTTGTCCTTCGTCGTCTCAAAGCTCTTGCTTTGGCAGTCAGCTCACTAGCAAATCCACGTCATAATAGAATAGACTATCCGTGCCTTGTTGTACATGGTTCCAAATACTACTTATGATCCATTTACAGCCATCTCCGGTGAGGAATTTGGTGGCACCAGTTGACGTTCCTCACCATCCAACTGTCTATTATCTTCGTTGCCATGCAAGTGATCAGAACAGTTCCTCGAGGCAGTAGTTTCTTCCTCTACATGATTCACTTCAGCGGTTGCGCTGTTATTATCTGAAGAGTTTCTAGGAGCACTTGATGCCTTTTCTTCACTGTTGTCACTAGAGCTCATTCTCCCTTCAGCTGCGTCAGGACTACCATGTACGTTGATTGCAGTTTTCTTAGCAGGAAGCACGGCCTGGCTCAGTGTTGTTGAACATAGGGCAGAAAAAACACCATCTTTAGACTTTGGATACTTGAACCACTTCTGCTTCTTCACATGCTCGGCTTCTCTGTCTTTGGGAGGCAATTTCCGTTTTAGCCTGAGAGACTCCATAGTCCCTTCATCTTCATCCGAAGCTTCTGGCTTCCTTGGCGGTGGCTTGTAATCCTCATCATCCTCATCATCATCATAGTCTACTAGACCACCAGACCTTGGGCCATAATTCCAAATTAACATATCAGTTTGGAACATATGGAATGCGAACGATTCAATTTCCATAATACAGGAAAATGGAACCTACCTTGTCTGTGAGACGCTTGCAGAACCATTAGATGAATTAGATTGCTGTGGCTGTCCTTTCTGATTGTGGGAAACGGATGCAGAAGCTGTGTCTTCCTCATCACTGATTCAATCAACAGAGTAAGACAACATTATAGATGTAAGAGATCTCCAACAATTCTCGAGAGAGAGAGAATGTACCTGTCCTCGTTGAAGTAGTCTTCCTCTTCTTTCTCTAGAGCCCGTTCATCAATTCGTCTCCGGGGGTCAGTCACATTAACAGTACTTTTTGGCCCCCCGTTATCTAAACACTGCAAGCAAAAATGTAACGTCAGATTCAGGCATTTGCGCCAAAAACAGAAGGAGCAACATATGCGCCAAAACCAGGAGCAGCGGCAAGGAAAATACCTGCTCATATTTTACTTTCAGTGATTGAATGGAAGCCAAATACTCAAATTTCTCAAGCTGAGGCCAGAAAGAATCAACTAAATATTTCACCAACAATTTTAGATTCTCCTGCAGCATACAATGTTATCAGTACATAATTGCTTCAAACATTTAAGATGCACGGTACATAGGTATAAAAGAAAGTACCTTCCGGATATACTCAAAAAGTTCTAGAACTGCAGAGTTTAGCAGATTGTAGCGATGGCCATTGTCAACAAAAGCATCTACAATTGGTTTGAGAAGGTTGTTCCCAACAAAATGATTTATCAGATGCTCGTCCTGCAGGTCAACACTCCAACATGTTAAGCAAAATGCTTAAAGGGGGTCATCCACCACAAAGTGGCAGCAAAACCCGAATAACATGGAAACAAAAGGAAATATAGGACACTAAACAAATTCAAACCATTCTTAACACTAACCCTCCTCCAAAAGCTACCTAGAAAAGTGGAGAACTTACTTGAATACCCTCTTGAGGGTCCTATGCTACTTTATGTGAGATTTAGGCATCCCGATAGAATCTACAACACTTCACTCATCTTCCTTTTTAGTTAGAATCCTCCAACGGTCAAAACCCTCAATAGGCAGCCCTTTCCAGAACCAATGACCGTCAACTTTGATAACAATTGATAGATACTCAAGTAAAATGAGGAACCCTCCCCCAAAAGTTAACTATTGAGGTTGGAGAGCCAATCTACATAGTGCTTGTTTGGAATGGCAGTAGAATTCTTCATAAGCAACTTTGCAATCATAATTAATGGAATAGAGGCAAGTATGTGACAGGTTTGCTTCAAATTATGTGAATAAGTGCTTTTGGCATGTCCAATTGTGATCCCAAACAAGCACATAAATACCAATTAAGGATCCCATTGCCACTCAATTTTGAAACTCAGATACCCTAATGTTCACCGCAAGACTTCGGCATAACATACCACCTAAGTGTCCATTAAAAAAACCATCACTAATCCTATCCTAACATGAAATTGGGGACCAATGGACCATTAAAATTAACAACACTTGCTTTTCAACTCCACCACCATCCATTCTGCATTTCCCTAAAATTCATCAAACATTTTATTAGTGCAGATATTAAGACTCACATGACGAGAGAGGATAGTACGAACAAATCGAACAGCACCAACAACTAAGTATTTCTCCCTTCTTTGTGTCAAAAGCAAAATTTTGTCAATCACATTGTTCAAAAGGAAGTTGCATCTGCAAGCAACAGAAAAATTCACACTCAAAATTAACATGAGCAGCAGCAAATTCCTAAAGGTATATCAATGACATAATGCACAGCAGCAATATACTTTATCCTGTATGGGTGATGCAGCACACAAAAGCATAATAATTCGCTTATGTTTGATAATATCTCTGGTTTTGTTTCCATCCGACACTTGACCCTTTGACTGGGATCCACTGAATTGCTACTTGCACGAGCAACAGAAGGACATGATGCTGCTATTACTTCGATCAGTTGCCCCAAATGCTTCTCATAGAAGATATCAATAATAGTGTCCCTCTGTCAGGAAGGGAAAAAAAAATTAAAATAGTGAACACAACTAGTCCAGTAATAACAATCTAACGAACCTAGAAAGAGACCTCCATCTTACATGAAAACTGACAAGTTTTCCAACAAATCAGCAGACATATTATAAAACACAAGTCAACATTCAAAATTAAGACCTGCATAAAAAAACTTAAATGTGTTGACTCCAAATGAAAAAGCCATTATAAAGCAAGAAAACTAAAACCACTTATTAAACCAAACAGAAAGCTTCCACCATATCCAAACCAACAATTCCCCCTCCCTCCTCCTCTCATTTGCCCCCTACAAATGACATGATACTAGTGCTTCAAGTTGGATGCTAACCGTTGACAGCATATGAACCACATACATGACTAACAGTACTTTCAGAACATAGTAACCACTACTATCCATGGTGATTGAAAACATATTGGACCCATACCGAACTATTTAGCTGCAAATTCAGTAAATATTAACCATAAGTATCTGGGTTGGTGGATAACTGCAGACTACATGACAAAACAGTTAATCACACCTTCCTACGTAGAAATTACTACGCTCAACTTAGCCAGGAGGGGACCTACTAAAGATGTCTCAAACAAAATCAACCACATTAGGTACACATCAACTAGTGGAAACTCAAGAAGACAGAAGGGAATGTGGGGAAGTGAATAACCACAGTACAATGTCTTAGGCCTCACATCTCCCACGACATTCTTAATTGATTCCTTTGTAAGGGGGTACTTTCACTAGGAATTCTTCTTCAGAAGCAACTCAAAGTTTTAATCTCCATAACATTTAACCCCAAAACAAAACCAGAGTTTGCACTAACTGAAAAGACTTCAAATTAATTATAATTAGCAAAATAAATATCACTTAAAACTACAAGCGACCATGATAAATTAGAAAAGTATATCAAAAAACTTGTACAAGAACACTAAATCAAATTTCATGCATTGCTAAATAAATAATAAATAAGAAACAGGAAGGCTATAACTGTGATACATAATGTTTTCCGTCAAGAAGAATGTAGGTCATATGAATCCGATCGAAAGTTTAATTTAGGGACCAGACAATTAGAAAGAAGAGAACCTGGGCTCCAGATAACGTGCAAGAGTCCAATAAACTGCGAAGAATCTCAAGAAACTGGCAATGCATGTTATCTCCAAAATCTGTTATCATTCCTTTAACCTGTCCATGAAGGAACAGCTAATAAATACCTTGTGAACTGACCTTCAAAAAAAAATCATAGCTAAAGTATCATAAAAAATTGTGAAAGAGAAATACAAAGCACCAAAAGAGTAAACACTTGGCCTAAAAATCAAGGAATCAACATGGTTTTCTAGTAATTAGGAAAAATGCCTGTGTGTACACTATGTGCGTGTATTGATGCATCATGTGCCTCATTCAAATGAGGGCAAAACAAAATTCGGGAGACACATCAATGACGGACCACAATATCTAGAAGTTTAAGTTGTTGAGGGAGGGTCATGAACAATTTAACGTAAAATCTCAAATACACCTCGTCATACAAAATCCTGTTGGGCTTGAAATGAGGCAAAGCATGGGCTCAGCATACCTTAGACCAAAAGGTACTCCCTCCCTCCAAATTTTTCTCACTCTCACCTACCCACTTATAATAAGGACATGTCTGGAAAGAAAAGTATATTCTGCATATTTATTACTTTGAACTAATTTTAATAGTTTTCTTAAACCAAGCAATTTGATTATCTGGATCTTATAATAAGGGACGGGGGGGAGTATGTAATGAAGAGAACAAAGGGTGCCAAGGGGACGGAGGGAGTATTTAATGAAGAGAACAGAAGGTGCCAAGGATTGAAACTTCAGACTACTTAATCATAGAGGCTTTTATATTCTGCCATGGACCCCTTCAACCAAAGGTTTATGCTGTTAAGTGAACATCCATAGCTAGTTATTTTTCAAATCGCTATCAGAATGGGAGCAATAACGGAACTCTTTCAAGTATCGCTACACCCATATTTGATGAAGGGAAAATCTGTTCCCACCCCATCTCCCCGGATGAAAAATTAACCCTTCCCCACCTCTAGATGAGGCACACTCAACAGGGATCACTGTGAATAGAGGGAGACGCCATCTGTAGCATATCATAGCAAACAATGCTGTGAGATAAAATTTAAAAAAAAAAAAAATAAGACAACTCATTTAAGAGATGGTGGGGACCAAGGAAAAATGGAAGCTTGGGAAGAAAATATGACTGCAACAGAGCATGGAAACAAGTACGAACAAAATAATGAATAGGGCAAACTCAGTAGTTTCAACTCAACTACAAAAAAACTCTGGCTGGACTCCACTTCGCTTTATTTTAAAAAAATTAAACTAGATATGTTTTCCTGATGCATTGCATGGAGCCTGTTTATGGCTTGACATTAATAACGTTGTTATAGATTTATATTTTTTTTCATTGACATATACAAGAAGCCCAAACTCCACAACTAGCTCATACAAAGCAAGAATACCCAAAAATGTAGCCAGGTATATGTCAACGGATTTAACACTTGAATTGAAGACAACATTAGATTTCAAACTGCTCCGGCATATTTTATGTTATGTCAAGTTGCATTGGCATTGTTCATGTGTTCTTCGTAGACCAGACAAACCTTGACTTTTGATGAGCCTTTACGCATTTGAAATCTCAATCATGCAGGATCCAAGAGGATTTAAAACAAAAAAAAAGGCCTTACAAAGAACAGAAGCTTTAAATTAAAAAGTTCCCACTTGATATAGGGTCTCATTTTAGAATAAAACAGGTTGTTGGCAAATTACTACAATAAGTTATCAACTAAAATGCTCGCTTTCCTCCAAGAGATGGCTTGATTATACTGCCCAGCAAGGACGTACTTCAGCTACATTACTTTGCTCCTATTCATACTCTATTGTAGTAGAATTTCCTGTCTTCAATTTACACTCAAATTGATCCTAAAAACAGGTTCACCAACAACGTAATTAAAATTCAGATCCTTTATACGCGCATGCCATCTCGAAATTAAAAAATCTCAATCGCAAGTGAAGCATACCAACAGTCCTAGGAGTGTGAT